TGCAGATCCAAAGAGGGTCAGATTCAACTAAATACGTTAATGACATGGCAACAATAGGCCAGTAAAATGGGGCTGATTGCATAAGCAGGCGTGGATTCAAGGTAGACACTCGTGGAAGAGTTCTTTTCATTTGTGCATGCATGCATGCGTTTGTAGGCAGTCTATAATTGATTTTTTTATACATACCTCAGATCATGGAATGTTAAGCCAAAATCTTGACACTCTTTGCCACCTATCCTTCCCACCCTTACCAGAATGTATGTGCTTTTAATAAAGGAAATAATTTGTTATATCGTATGTTCTATCCTTTACTAAGAATCAGCACCAAGCAAAATGAGGGGCACTTAAAAAGCAATAACATTCAAAAGAAATTCCCAGCTATCCATAATACATTTGTTGTAATTGGAGACTTAAAAAACAAAGAAAGAAACTCTAGAATTGGGGATTTCTGAGATAAGTGCCCACAAGCACTTTACCAAAAGATAGCAAAACGCTGAGTAAACAAGGATCCTGGAAAGGGAGAATGAAGGGAAAATAAATCTTCTGTATCTTATATCCAACTTAAGTATTGGCATAAAAAGTGTGGATTCCAAATTAGATTTTGAAAACAGGAGAAAAGTGAGCCATTGGTCCATAAAATAGAAATTCAAAGGTAAAGGCAATTGCCTTAACATTACTAGATCCAGAGAAGGTCACATTCCAAAAAGCTTTTAATTCTAAACCAGGCAATCACATCAAGTTTGAAAATGGTATAGAAAATACTTAGGAGACCTTTATTTTGTCTTTTGATTCTTCTTTTTGACAAGTAAAGCCCATCAGTTATGCAAGTATTACTATTTCATGATTCCTGGCCTCCTCTCAGTATTCTGTCAGCATTCCTAAATCACCACCAAGAATCCACACTTGGGGGCGAGGCTGTGATTAATTTATGTTTCTCACCAGATGCATCTTCTGGCCAAGTGCTGGCTGCAAGGGGTAAGAACTGTCAGTGCTGTTACTATTATTGGTAAAGGAAGATGCTCATGATAGCAGCATACATCTTTTCTTTTCAGACACTGTTTATTCTGTCTTTATGACTTGCCTCTCATTCCAGGGAAACTTAGGGGTCTAACCCACATTAAATATTTTTCATTATATTTCAGAGTGTGAGGAATGGAATGGGGGACTGTGCCTCCTTCCTTTTTAAAGATACATCATCACAGCAGTTGCTCACATAACTTCCACTCTGTCCTTTTGGCCATTAGGTAGTCTCAGTCTCATCTCACTCCAGGCTGCAAGGAGCTAAGAAATATAGTTTCCACCTGAGTAGCCATATGGTTGGCTAAAACTGGGAAATCTTATTAAAAAGGAGAGAATGGAAACCAAAGAAAAAGAGAGGCTGAACACAAACATTTATTAAGAGAGTAAATTTCATATTAAGTGTTTTTTTATCACAATAAAATAAACATTTATTTTTTAAAAAGTAGAGAATGAATTGATGGACAATTAGAATTCTCTGTCACAGCGTGAAAAAGGTTTCTCTGTTTGGCCATAAAAGTAATATGACACAGTTAGACTATAATCCAAAAAGACCAATAGGCAAAGCCTGCTATTCATCCAGTCTTCTCTGAAAGATATGATTTTTTCTTAGCAGCCCTCAAAATTATATGGTATAACATTGCATTGGATGACGATAGCTGTGTAATTATCTATGTTAGAGAACCTAGCACACATTACACAAGTTCTCTTGTCTGTGGAAGCATCTCTAAACTTTTGAAGAAGTAAGAGCCAGGCTTACCTCTGAGTAGTTCTTCTCATACAAATCTGCACATTAGCAAGGGCGCTGCTCTTGCTTCTCACTCAAGATTCAATGTCTCAACCATAAACAGGAAAGTGTCCAATATAGTAGCTGCATACCACCATTACTTAGCACTCACCTGTTTGTGATGGACTAGACACTAAAGACTGCCACATGTGCCTGAAAACAAACATCACCACCACTAGCTTCCAGAAGAGCCATGTAGCCACCACTTCATGATGCTCATTTCTCCTTCAAGGTCCTGTGAAGGTACATCAGCTTGGTGACTGCTATGTTTAAAACAGAAACCATAGCTGCAAGAGTCTGGGGACTATAGTTTAGCCCTTTAGCCTCAGCTGCACAGGATTCAGATGGGGTAGCTCTGAGAATGTTGGCTGGGTGACTCTAAGCTGCAAGTTGGGTCTGGGTCTGCTGCACAAGGCTGCCATCCCCCTTGGACCAGCAAGCTAGCAGGTTGTGCACTTCTAAAAGGATGGCAAAGGCACAAGAGAACAAATAGTGCCAACAATTCCTCTTAAGGCCTAACTAAGCTTGGAACTGACTCTCTTTCATTTCAGCTCATATTTTATTGATCAAAGCAAGCCACATGTTTACATCCAAAGACAAAGGGGCAGGAAAGTATACTCTACCTTTTGTGAAAGGAACTATGAAGTACATTACAAAGAATATTGACCCAGAAAAGGGATGAAGAGGAATGGGGGCCTAAATCAGAGTCTGAATTATCAAAATATCTGGGGGGAATTCTATAGCAACTCAAATACTTCTATTTTCTTAGTTGTGACTAATAAATTATCAAGTCTAGCCATATCTTAGGATGATAATTAATTTGTGACTGAGATACGTAAATGATATAGATTTCCCAGTTGTGACAGTAAGAGATGTGAGGAATGGCGACACCAAGTGAGTATGGGGTTACCTCCAATACTGTAATTTAGTGATAATTATAATATTTCATTATTGTTTTATTTTAAATATTACAAGGAAATGAGAATATATAGTGTTTACTCACAAAATCAGACCAGCTTTACATAACTGTTTGTTGTTAGACTTACGACTAAATTCTAAAATGGCTGTGAAAATAGATGGGTTTTATTGAACATAAGGTTATGCTTCCTGATGAAATTGGGAACTGAAATTGTATGATTCTTTTGACTGTATTTTTTGTAATAAGCATGATAAAAAGAATATGGATTAACGAAATTCAACTTAATATTACTAGAAATTAGAGTGTTCTCTCCTGGAATAAATATGGAACAAGAAGCTTCAAATTTGACTCTGAATGAATTAAATATTTTTAAAAATTGAGAAATAATTGACATATGACATTATATTAGTTTCAGGTGTACAACATAATGTTTCAGTATTTGTTTATATTGTGAGAAGTTCACCACAATAATGTGGTTAACATCCATCACCACAGAGTTAAATGTTTTTTTCTTGTGGTGAGAACTTTTGTTAATATCTATTTTTTTAAGCAACTTTCAAATGTATAATACAGTATTATTAACTATAATGACCATGGTATTTATACATTATATTCCTAGGACTTAATTATTTCATAATTGAAAGTTTGTAATTTTTTACACCCTTTACTCATTTTGCCCATCCCCCACCCTCCGCCTTTGGCAACCACCAATCTGTTCTCTGTATCTATGCATTAGTGGGCTTTATTTATTTATTTTTGTAAAATACATTTTTATTGATTTCAGAGCGGAATGGAGAGGGAAAGAGAGATAAAAACATCAACGATGAGAGAGAATCATCCATCTGCTGCCTCCTACATGCCCCTTACTGGAGATGTGCCCTTGACTGGAATCGAACTTGAGACCCTTTAATCTTTAAACTGACATTCTATCCACTGAGCCAAACCAGCTAGGGCACTGGGATGTTTTTTTGTTTTTGTTTAGATTCCACTTATAAGTGAGATCATACAGTATTTGTATTTTTCTGTCTGAGTTATTTCAATTAGCATAATACCCTCAAGGTCCATACATGTCACAAATGACAAATTTCCCTTTTTCATAACTGAATAATATTCCATTGTGGATACCATATTTCCTTTGTCTATTACTTTATCAATGGTCAAATGCTCTAGATATATAATTTAATGTAATCCACAAACAATCTGATATGGTAGAAATTCTTACTGTCCTTATTTTACAGATGAAACAAGTTTCAAACTATAATCCACATGTATTGCTTTAAAAAAAAACAAATAAAATTATAACCTTTTTAAGCAAGAGAAGTGTACTATCTTTAGGATTAACAATTTGCAAATGATCTGTTATATACTTCTTGTAAAACTTTTTCTCCAAAGCTGTACTTGTATATATTATCAGAAAGGCTGAATTCCATTACTTTAGGCAAGTTGTTTAACATCTAAAGCCTCTATTTCCTTTGCAAAATAGCTCTAATTATACTTGTTCTACTTTTTAAAATAGTTAAGGGGATCAAATAAAATATATGAAAACAACATGTAAGTCATAAAGTACCATATAAAGTTAGGCAGAGGTTGACACCAGGGGATGAGGGCAATGAGGAGATAAGGACACATATGTAATACCTTAATCAATAAAGAAAAAAAAATAAAAAGTTAGGCAAGAGTTTATTATATAATTAACATCCTTCATATTTGCAACTGGACTATATAATTTGATGTTTTCTAGACAAGACATGGCACATTCATAATCAAAACATTGCAAATAAATACATATAAAGCTAAAACTTATTTAGAAAATTATGAAAATATGCCATCAGTTCCATTCTTAATCAGTGGTATATAAATTGATAGTGCTGCAGATAAAGCCAGATCTACATTCTGAGACACTGCTATATTAAAACAAATAATCTTTAGTAACAGTATCTTTACTTAAATGACATTTTGCATTATCATTTGTTAATGTCAGTTTTTCACAGATGTCTTTTGGATTAGGATTTTTAATATTAAATACTAGATAAATAAGGGGAAGACTTTATTTAGCTCACTGTTAACATCCCCATTGCCAAAACATTGTCTGAGACATAAATATTTCTTAAAAGCATGAGTGAAATGATACTCTGATCATTGGAGAAGAGAGTTTAAGATTAGCTGTTAACATAAAAATGTTAAGCATAAATACTGACAATATGGGTAGTATTATGAAATTTCTTTGATTCCCATATGTTTGGCAGATTTATCATTTCTCCTCTTTGCTTTACTTAGGGGCGTGCTGCCTTAACAAAAGAGAAAGAGGAATTTGCTCATGAACATAAAGAAATGAAAAACCTAGAAGATATTGTTCAAGAAATAAAACCAACTGCTCTCATAGGTAAATGTTTCCCTCCCTCACATAAACCCCACCTGACCCCATTTTCACCCGATTCTTTTTCTTAACTACGGATTTATGAGGCATAGTTTAGCTTTCTGAAATTCTAACCTTCGGAATTGACAAACAAAATTATATATTCACCGAAGCAACGGTACCCCTGGACACCTAGATTTGTAAATTCTTAGCCTCACTGATCCCAGGTGAAGTGTGCAGCCCCCTCTGCCAACCCTGTCAGCCCGTTACTACCTGGCACATTCAACACTTTTCGAAGCTGGTTGCTCCCAATGGATAGTGGCTCTTAATGGGATTGAGCTCCCCCGCAATTGGAAACATTTGACAATGCCTGGATATATTTTTGGTTGAAACAACTGGGAGGACAGGAGGGATGGGGTCAGCATTACTGACATCTAGTGTGTAGAGACTAGGAATGCACAGGAAAGCCCCCACAACAAGGAATTGTCCAACCCAGACTGTTCATATAGCCAGAGCTGAGAACCACTGAACTGGACCCTCCTTGAAGACAGGGACCATATTTCACATAGCTTTGTATTGCTCATAGCACTTAACACAGTAGCTTAACATGGCATGTGCACTGTGAAATATTTAGCTAAACTAAGCTATGGCCAAGTTTAATGTGGTTGAAAAGAACGCAAAGAAAGCCATGAAACTTAATCGTATTTTGTGTGTATATAATGTCAGCCCTTACTTTGTGTCATACTCCATTCCTATAAGCTCTTATGAAGCAGATGATAATATTGAGAACAATGTTGATAACCATAATAAAAACATACACTCCATGATTGCAACTGTAGGATGCCTTTATTGTTATCATTTATAAAATATCTTCTATCAGGAATTGCCTTTTTTCATTTCCATTATGCAAATTGCTTCATTCTCTGTTAAGCTTTCAACACATCATACTTCGATTTTTAATTGAATTGGATGATTGTCTTAAATGTTAGCATTGGTTTATAAAACACAATTACTTTATAGACCTAGTGACTGCAATATACTCATATATTTCTTATAGAGAGATAAATTTTTTACTTATTGATTTTAGAGAGAGAGAGAGATGTCTTGTTACACTTATTTCTGTGTTAATTGTTTGATTCTTGTATTAGGTCTAGTAATAATTAATGTCGTTTTCTAATACCTTTTTTTAAAATCGAATTTATTTAAACAATACAACAAAATTTAATCAACAATATAGTTGCCGTTGTTTTCTACTACTTGTGCCCAATGCTCAGGAAGCATTTTAATCCCTCTGTTGTAAAATTCTTGTGATTTTGATGCAAAAAATTCGGTCAATGCATTTTTGAGGCATTCTTCATTATTAAATTTTTTTCCAAGAAGAAAGTTTTGCAAAGAACGAAACAAATGGTAATCGGAAGGGGCAATATCAGGAGAATATGCAGGTTGAGGGAGAACTTCCCATTCCAACTGGCGCAGTTTTTCAGCAGTGATTCTTGCAGTATGCGGTCGTGCGTTATTGTGGTGAAGAATTACGCCCTTCCGATTAATCAGTGCGGGTTCTTTTTCTCTTAAAGCTTGGGCTAACTTTCCAATTGGGCACTATACACTGCACTTGTAATGGTTTGGTTAGATGGTAAAAGTTCATAATGAAGAATTCCTTTAAAATTCCACCAAACACACAACATCACTTTTTTCGCATGCAAGTCAGGTTTTGGCGTGGGCTGCGGAGCCTCATTTTTGTCCAACCATTGAGGCCGCCTTTTCAAATTAACATACAGCACCCATTTTTCATCTCCGGTAACAATTTGCTCTAAAAACGGCAAATGGTTTTGACGAGAGAGGAGTGAACTGCAAATTGTGACTCTTTGATTACGGTTGTTGTCGGTCAACTCATGAGGAACCAACCCATTTTCCAAACTTTTGGACTTTGCCAAGTGCACGCAATTGATTGGAAATTGTTTTTTTTTGTGAACAATTTAAAGTTGTCGCAAGATCTTGTTGGGTAATTTGAGGATTTTGCACCAAAAGAGCTTGAAGAGCTTCTTGATCAAAATTGGACACACGGCCTCGACCACTCTTGTCATCTAACGGAAAATTTCCCTCGCGAAATTTCTCAAACCAACGCTGGCATTTTCTGGCGCTAACTGCATCTTGACCAAGAGCACTACAGATGTTTTTTGCAGCCTCACTTGCTTTTCTTCCTAATTGGAACTCGTAAAGCATGCAGTGCCGAATATGCTCTTCATCCGCCATCTTCTTAGCCCTAGTTTTGCAACAAAAACCAAACCAAACACAAACTTTTTCAAGCAAAACTTGTTAATTGCACTTCACACGTTCTGTAGATACCACGTGTTTGAAGGTTATGTTAATACAAGTCAGCGCCAAGCAAGATTTTAAACAAATGTTTAAAAACGACATTAATTATTACTAGACCCGATATGTGCCCTGATTGGGGATCAAACCCACAACATTGGCTTATTGGGACGATGCTCTAACCAATTGAAGTACCTGTACATGGCCATTTTGGACACATTTTAATGTCCTGTTATAATACCTGTAATCAAAATTTCTAGTGATCAGTTACCAACTCAGTGTATTATGAGTCAAACGTTATAGTTGTGATTTTTTAGATACTTGTAGAGAATGTAAACCTAAAGGCAATTGACATTAATAAACTTATCTTTTTTGTCACCTTGATACAAATGTTATTTAGCATCTATTAAAAATGACCTGACTTTTCATTGTTGTTCGGGCATGGGCTTCTTGGATTTATTAACAGATGATAGTCCAATTCACTGGTTTCTCATTTCTATTTCAGGAGCTGCCGCAATTAGTGGGGCATTCTCCGAACAAATCCTCAAAGACATGGCTGCCTTCAATGAACGGCCTATTATTTTTGCTCTGAGTAATCCAACCAGCAAAGCAGAATGCACTGCAGAGCAGTGTTATAAAGCAACCCAGGTAAAGCAAAAGCACAACTGATATTTTAATTATCAAATTTTGATTCATTATAGGGAAGCACAAGATATCAATGGAGCTTACAATTTAAATTTTAAAAATTATGCAAGCAAGATTGGGAGAAAAAAAAAAGGTGAACAGGTCAGAAGGGAAAAGAACTATATCCTAGAATGCTGTTGTAAAAAAATCCTCTTCTTCAATAAAACAAAATAAATTTGGTAATGTTTTGTTGATAATTTTCCTCAAGTGATTTGGAATTATCTAAGGTTAAAACATAAAAGTTAAAAAGGAAAAAGCTTGATTCTAGATGCTTATTAAAATAACTTTTAACTAGCTATTCCAAAACACTGAAGCACACAGTATGAAAACCACAGTCTTATTTTTGCTTTGCTAACACTGGGTTTGGGTTTTGATGCCGTGGGTGGAGTATCTGGGCAGCACTCTGACATCCAGCCAAACTGAGGCCGGAGTTCTCAAAGCTTCAGTTCTTTACTGTTTCCCCAAAGTGACTTATTTATGCTATCTTTGTATTAATATACAGGGTGAGGCAAAATTAGGTGTGCAGTTGTATGAGAAACAGAGTTTATTCTTGTATTATCTATTTATTTTTTATATTATTATTAATAGAGGCCTGTTGCATGAATTTGTGCATGGTGAAGTCCCTCATGTTGGCTGCCAGTCGGGGCCTATGAGGCCATCTGGAGCAGTCCTTATTGGGGCTGATTGGGGCCTGCCAGCTGGCTGAGGAAAGGGACCACAGGAGGTTGGCTGTGGTAGCACACTGACCACCAGGGAGCAGCTACTGTGTTGAGTGTCTGCCCCTGGTGGTCAGTGCATAGCATAGCGACTGGTCTCCTGGTCAACCGGTCATTCAATCAACAAGTTGTAATGATCACTTAGGCATATATGTGTGTGTGTGTGTGTGTGTGTGTGTGTGTGTGTGTGTGTGTGTGTGTGTATTTTTTATTTTATTTTTCTTATGGACAACTGTAAACCTACTTTTGCCCTACCCTATATAGGGTGTCCCCCCAAAATGTGTGCACACTTTGAATAATTATAAAAGCAGTGTTTATTAAAATCCATTTTATTTTCAACATGTAATAGAGTCTACAGACATTGTGTATACATTTTTTGTGTGACATCCTGTATATTTAACTGATATGTTGACAAGAGCCTTCTTCCCTTCAAATGTTTGAAAAGGTCTTTAACACAAAACAAGGATATAAATTGAGTCATAGGTATCTAACACTTTTATTTTGGAAATAAATCCAAAATGAACTAGAAAAGGTAAACACGGCACAAAGTTATGCCCCTGCACAAATCAGACTTTGATGGCCCCACTTCTTTAATGTTATGTCCTAAATGCTTATGACTAGAATTGATGAAATGTTGGCAAGGAGCTACTGCATTGTTTATTTCTCTTATTTGCATTGCATCAGTGTCCTCAATAATTTAAATTTTTTATCTCAGCTCTAGATTGGGGAATTTGCTTCAGTAGTAGTTCTGAAATCCTTAAAGGAGAAAAAAAACAACAACTCTCTGAGCAATAACAAAATTTTAACATTGCACATAGTAGGCATACTAAATATGTAATAATTTTGTTTTGTATAGTTCATAGGTCTCAAGAGATTATAGACTCAGCTGTGATAGTCAAACAAAATTACCTAAATTTATATACTTGTGTTTTTAAGTTTGAATACATTTGATGCAAGTGGCCTAAACTCTTTCGTAGGATCTCGCTTAATGTTCCGTGTCCCTGTACATAAAATTGAAAGTCACGAGAGGCTGAAAATGTAAGCACTGGTTTAGCCAAAGGATTACAGAATAAAGCAGGGTCTGCCTGCGCTGGATGTGAGTCTCCGCAGTGTGGGCACAGGAGAAACTGTTAAGAAAGTTTAGAAATACAAAATACAAAAAAAGATTATTGAACCTAGAAGAACTATACTAAAAGTGGTATGGAGAGATTTTCTTCTCCATATTAACATTTTATGTATATGAGAATGTTTATCTAGCTATCATTTACTTACTGCCATTCCTCCATAAAATATGATGATTATAGAGCGATGGGCAGGAGGAGAGGGAGTAAAGGAGGGAAGGAGGTTAAACATGCAAAAATGCAATATTGAAGGTCTCTTCCTATAAATTTTCAAAGGTGTATGTACATCCAAATAGTACATATAAATGTTTATTTAATATATATCAAATATTAATTTAGTTACATTAGAAAGTTACTTGTAATAAAATATTTTATCTGCTAAGCAAAGCTGAAGTTAATATATTTGTCTAAAAATATAACCTAATCTTGTATAACACATAGTAGTGTCTTATAAGACACCTACATGAGAATTTTTATTTTCTTTCTCATCTGTTTTCATCTTTTTATATCCTGAATAGGTTGACTCATTATACAATTTTACCTTTGTACATTGGATATTCTGTGACATTGGTTAAAATGAATAAGTTAATATTATTAATATCATAATGGGTTTAGACTCTAGTTCAGCAATTTTCAACTGGTATGCCACAAGAATTTTTAAAACATGCAAACCCTAGAGAACAAACTGACAGTTGTCAGAGGGGAGGGAGGTTTCTGGGCTGGGTGGAAATGATGAAAGGATTAAGAAAAACACCCCCCCTCCCAAAAACAAAACAAAACAAAACAAAAAAAAACCTCAGGAACACAGATGACAGTGTGGTGATTACAGGGGGAAAGGAAGTGGGAGGAGGTAGAAGAGAATCTAGTTGGGATAAATGGTGATGGAAGTTAACCAATGTTACCCCAGTAAATTCAATGAAATTTTTTTTGAAACATGCACTACCTGACTAGTCAGTCAGGGGCACTGACCTCTTTTGTCTCAGATTGTCAAATAAAAAATGACAGCAGCCAATACAACAATAACCATCCAGTGTGAATGCCCTGTCTTAAACCATAAATAAATACATCATATAATTTAGTTGCATCTTATTGGTCATGTTGCATAATAAGGATAATTAATTAATTCTTGGTACCAGAAATATGTATATTCAAGTATGAGCATTTGGTTTTTTAACCAAAGAACTTATATGCATGTACGCATAATCCATGGACACAAAGTCACTTTGGAGTAAAAATTAATCTAAACTATTTTTTCTCAGATTGGCAAAAAAAATATCAGCTATTTTTTGGAGTGCTGTGCAACTTTAGTAATTAGTTCTGTGTGCCATGAGATGACAAGGTCGACAGTCGCTGCTCCAGATGTAAGAGGGATCAAAGTTCTAACCCAGCTTATCATCATTACACTGTGCTTTGGGGATGTGGGACGTCAGATTGTTCCAGTGCATTTCTTAGGCTGTGACGCTTTGTTTGTCCAGGGTTTCCTCTTCCTGTCTGAGAAGCCCAGATGCTTTTAAAGACATCTCCACCCTCCCCGCATAGATCAGACAGATACTTCCCTTTTGGTCAGCAGGATAGGATGTGGCATCCAACATGCCCCAGGTTAATGCCATCTAAAGCATGTAATACATGAAGCTCCTCAAAAGCACTGTGACGAAATATGAATCTAGGAAAAAGTAAAGACAGTCTCTGACAATTATTGGTAAATTAATCTTATTTGCTAATCCCACTTGTTCTAATGGGTTTATTTCCTATATGATTTTTCATGTAATTCTTCACAATGTAGAAATATGTAAAATTTGTCCTAGTGACTGTTGAAACGTGTTAATCCCTAAACTCTAACCTAGAATGCCATTCTTTCCAATACTCCAATATTAATGTATCATTTTTATCTTCAGAAATCTATCATTGGAAGCCTATTAGAGATGGTTGACAGGCCTGTAGGTTGGACCACTGCAGAGTGGGACCAGCTTTCGGGTGTCCTGTGCTCTTCTAGGAGTGGAGAGGAAGGTGAAGAGTGGTAATAATCACCCACTCAGGAACTTACTGCCAACATCATAACAACTTGCCCAGACTTACTAGGGATGAAAAGTTGAGCTTCTTTCTAAATGCTCAGTGGGATGGTTCTGCTGTGGTACATTTGTCTTAAGGAGCCAGCTTCTTTTCACAGTTGTGTGTCTGTGTTGTAGGGGCGTGCGATTTTTGCCAGTGGCAGTCCTTTTGATCCAGTCACTCTTCCAGATGGTCGGACCCTGTATCCTGGCCAAGGCAACAACTCCTATGTGTTTCCTGGAGTTGCCCTTGGTGTTGTGGCGTGTGGATTGAGGCATATCACGGACAAGGTTTTTCTCACTACTGCTGAGGTACTGTGAAATACTCTTAAGTTCTCCCAGGCTATAAAATACCCAGCACCTCTCTGTAGCTGTCTAATGTTGCCTTTATCTAGTACAATCTCACTCACTCCCTAGAAGGTATAGCTGAAGGAGGGAAAATCTCTCCCAGTGGAGAGAGAATAAGGGGCAGGTGGCAGGTTCATATTGAGTCACTTGTAAAAAAAAAAAAAAAAAATTGTTCTTTAGTAGCCAGCAAAAAACCCACAAAATTGTGTTCTGATTTCTTAAATGGAACCCCTTTTTAATCTTTATACTTTCAAATTTTGTGCCAATAGTGAGACAATTAAAAAATTTTGTTTCCAGCCAGGCCAGTGTTGCTCAATTGTTGAATGTCAACATATGAACCATGAGGTCCATGGTTCAATTCCTGGTCATGGCACATGCCCTGGTTATGGGCTCAATCCCCAGAGGGGGCATGCAGGAGGCAGCTGATCAATCGCTCATCATTGATGTTTCTATCTCTTTCTCTCCCTCCCTCCCTGAAATCAATTTTTTTCAAATTAAAATATCTCTAATTTATAGGTTAAGTGATAAATATTTCTCTACTTAGAGAAATATTAGTGGCATTGTGAAGATTTAAAATGAAAGCCTGATTTGGTATAGTGAAGAAGTGTTTATCATTCAGGGTTCAGTGTAGAAAACACTCTAGTATTTTTTTTTTTTAAATCTTCACCCAAGGATATGCTGGTATTGATTTTAGAGAGAGAGGAAGGAGTGGGGAGATGAGAGAGAGAGACATTAGTTGCCTTCTGTATGCACCCAGACTAGGAATCAAACCTGAAACCTAGGTATGTGCCCTGATCAAGTATCGAACCAACTGACCACCGACCAAGGCATAACCACTCTAGTGTTTTTAACAGAAAGGAAATTAAAACAGGGGATTCGCTGTCTATAATGTTGCTAAAAGGATAGAGGTGGATTTTAGTGTGGCCTTCAGGACAGATCCTGAGAATATCACAGAGAAGACCCACCACAGGAACTCTGCTAAGCTACTACCGTTAAGAACTGAGAAAGCTCTGAACTTTTACCATGTTGTTAAGCTAACAAATTAGCCCACCACAGTTTCATAAATCCTGGCAAAAGATACCACACCCTTAGAGACAAAACACTTTATTACTTATTAGATATAGCATAAAAGGTAACATGAACTTCCAGTTCCCATCAGATGTAAAATCATGAGCTTTTCATTATCAGAATGTTCATTAGTTGATACCATTCAAAAATGATACAATTCATGAATGAAAATTAGAGTGAATTTCTTCTCTTAAAATTAAACCACTGTACAAACATTATAACTGAACTGAATGAAATAACAATTAATATTCAATGAAAATGCCAACCAAGACTCTTATGAAATTGATGTGATCTAAAGAAGTGTAATCCCAGTGTCCAGGCGCGGAGTCATTCTGTGGGAACAGAAGTCTGGAAGCGATAATGTTTGACTTCTTTCTTTTTTGTTCCTGCAATAAAAGCACAGCAGCTATGTCTCAGCGTTTTTTAACTCAAAAAGTCTTGTTGAACGTAACTGCATGTCTAATTACTAAAAGAGCTTTTCCAAGCTGTTACATTAAGGAAAAACATAATGATTATATTTTATAGCAGATACATCATAAGGAGAAAAAAAAAGATATTTTACTCATAGTAGCCAGAGTTTTCTTTCCTAAATAACTCCAGCACCCTCTAGTGACAAGTTGCATAAAAAGAAAAAAAAAAAAAAAAAAAAACTTTCCATTTACTATCCAGGAAAAAGTAATACCAAAAAACTATGAAGAAAAATAAATAAAATACGTTGATGTCATTATGGTTGTTCCTATCGGAGCTTGGGATTTCTCTGGCTAAATCTTTTGGGCTTTCTACTTTTCACTTAGGCTTCAAAACAATATTCTGGTTTTTACACCACCTCATTGATTTCAGTGTCCTCCTTTCATGTCTTTTTGTTTTGTTTTGTTTTGAACACTTTTCTGGCATTCATTTTTGGTCCTTTTTTTTTTTTTCCCCTTCCCTTTTGCTTTGAGAGATCTCATCCATTCTCTTGTTTCCATTATCATCATTCAAAAATTGGCCAAATCTGTGTATCTCTATTATCATCTTCACCATGTCTTCTTATCCAATGGGCATTTCCACAGAAATACCCTGCTGATTGCTTATACATAAGATGTGTAAAGCCATATTGCTCATCTTCCCTTGCCTTCAGTATTTGCATTTGCATTAGTGACATGGCCTTTCTAAGCAGGCACCAAAGCTTAGAAGCCCAACATCCTTTTCAGTCTCCCTCGTCCCAAAATTTCCATGCATACACACTTACATGTAATTTCTCTCTATGATCTACTATCTGTTATTCTGCGTGGAAAACTCTGAAAATTATTCCAATTGAAACCTACCCTTCAGGTTATTGCTTACGTCCCCCTCATCCTCTTGTGACCACTCTGGCTGCTCATGGCCTTTCTCCTTAGCCATAGCTGTCTTCATTGAACATACCAGCATTTAAATTTCATTCCTAGTGCTTTTATGCCAGTGGGAGTTTCGTTTTTTTAAACAATTAAGTGTTGCCTTATGATTAAATTGTAAGTCATCCTTTTTAAAAAGAGAGCTTTCCATATTTTTCTTTTAAAATATCAGTAGCACCTAGTATGATGCTAAATCATATTGTAGAAACTGAGTAATATTTAATTGAATTACCCAGAATAGTCATGTATCTTAACAAGAAGAACAAATACGGTGCCACATGCGCTCACTGTTAGAGGGCCCTACAAAGAAGAAAGTCCTTTTCATCTAGATTATATTTGTAGTTAATCAAAGTAACAAGCAGAAGATCTAGGTGAATTTTTAGATTGGCAACTGCAAGTAACTATTAGGGTTATTGTAAAAATGCTAGTTAAATATCTTATGCAACTCGAAATGGCCTGGCACCAATGCTGAAAACTGTCCTGGACAGTTTAATATCTCACACAGAGATCGCTGGCTCTCCTGGCACTCAGGACAGTCCCCAGGCCTCTGAGGGGAGCACCCAGTGTGTCCACAGGACAGCTCTCCTGGCTTGGCATTGAACGTGCAGCAGCCTGTCCACTTCTGGGAGGCAAGCCTTGCCTCCTGTCCTCACACCACCTCTCTTCGCTTGTGTCCTCTCACTCACCTATTCTATGCATATACATAGTATTTTATTGGTGAACCATTTGAAAACAACTTACAGATATTATGCCTCTTTACCCCTAAGTATTTTGGGAAATTTCTATGTGATCAATGTACGTTATTAATTCAGGAACATTAATAATACTATTATTTAAAGCACAATCCAAATTCAATTTTGACAATTATCCATTAAAAGGACCTTCATAGCGCCTAGTCTAATCCTTTAATCTGTAAGAATATTTTAGCCTTTTGTTTCCTTTATGGCATTAACATTGGAGAGTCCAGTCCAGTCCAGTTGTTTTACAGTGTTCCTCAATTTAGGCCTCTGACTGGTTCCTTTTGATTTAACTCAAGTTCCATGGCTTTGTGAGGAGCACTGAATGCCTAGTGATTGTCTCCTTCTCAAGGCAACACCTCAGGAGGCACATGATGCCAAGTTTTCTCCTATTTTTAAAGCCACTTTACTGAGTTATGATTGACATGTGAAAAGTTAAGGTGGTCAGAACACTGAACATAAGCCCTATCTACCCTCTTAGCAAATGTTTAAGTGTGCATGTGTGCACTGCTTGGTTTAGAAATGGGGATGGTTTGCAGACAGCAGACGCTGATGCTAGTTAGGTGATCCAGATACTCCAGAATCTGTGAGAAACTAAAATCCTACCTGCAAGGCAGCTCTGAAGTAGGTTTCTCAGCCTTCTGCTTCCCCTCCTGTGGGAGATTCTGTGAGCTGGGAGAATGGCATCATCAGCCTTGCACACCTTCCCTCCTCGGCTCTCAGGCTCCTTTTCCATCTCTCTGTCATCCTCTTGTAACTTCCTACTCCTCTCTCGCTGTTCCTCTCATGTAGCAAATGGGAGAGCTGCTGGCATTTCATGGTACAGTAGGACAGGAACTGGGTTAAGAGAAAACCCAAATTCTGTTCCTGTCTTTTTCGCTAATGGTGTGATCCCAACAGTCACCAAGCCTGTCTGGGCTCGGTGTTCCCACTGATAAAGAGGGAGGTGCAATTAGATGATCACATTCATGTGATCTGCTTCTATATGTGACCATATATGTACCATCACCTAATTATCCTCTTAACTCCATGTCCTATGGTGTGAAATGTAAACATTTTTTGTTTTTCTTTTTTTTAAGGTTATAGCTCAGGAAGTGTCAGAGAAGCACTTGGCAGAGGGCCGCCTGTATCCTCCTTTGAACATCATTAGAGATATTTCTCTGAAAATCGCAGTAAAGGTAAAACTGTGCTTGCTCAACCTCATTGGTTTTCCTTCCTTCTATTGTTAAATATGCATTTTTAGGTATTAAAAATCCACTTTCTTGAAATTTCTGTCACCTTATTATGTCAGAAGGCACAGAGCCTTGGCAGAGCTTAGGGACTCAGATCTGTAGAAATGGAAGAATCAGCTGAATCATTAATTCCCCCATCAATCTTTTTCTCTCCTGTAATTTAAGTGATTCCTTAGGATTTCCTCTCAGTTAGGTCTTTTACACTTTACCTTTTTTTAATTGGTATCTTCCATATCACAGTTATGAAAGTTGCCTACATGTTTCAGGTGTGGGAGGGTGACATTTAGACTTTAACCTACCTGCCTTATCCGTGTCTCCAGGGTGGGTGGACCTGCGTCTCCATGGTGTGCGGCATCTTAAAGATCACAACTGTGAACACAGGGCAAAGGGTAGTGCAATGATGGCAAAGCACTCAAAGCTGTTGGGGTGGTAGACGAGCTTTTGAAGGAATCAGCCAAAAAAAACCTAATAGCAGAGAAATCTTTTGAACTGAGAGAGAAATTGATATTTTTGCAATGTAGTTGTATTAGTTTGCTAGGGCTGCCATAGCAAAATACCACAGACTGGGTGATTTTAAAACAAACTTATTTTCTCATATTTCTGAAGGCTAGAAATCTAAGATTCAGGCCAACGCAGGACTAATATTTTTGGAGGCCTCTCTTCTCCACTTGTAGGTGACTGCCTTCTCTGTGTCTTCATGGGGTCTTTCTTCTGTGTATGCATATCCCTGGTGTCTCTGTACGTTTACCTTCTAGAAACACCAGTCAACATGGGTTAGGGCCCACCCAAACAGCCTCGTTTTAACATAATTATCTCTTAAAGACTCTGCTCCAAACACAGTCACACTCAGAGGTACTGGAGGTAAAGGCTTCAATATTTTGGGGTGACATAGTTCAGCCCATAATAGTAATTATGTATTTATATTTAAGCTAGAGTTTCTCAACCTCATGCACATTTTGTCTGGAAGACTCTGTTGTGGGGCTGTCCTGGGCATTGAAGGATATTTAGCAGCACTGCTGGCCTTTTCCCAATGGATGCCAGTAGCTTCCGCATGGTTGTGACAATCAAAAATGTTTCCAGACCATTGCCAACTGGTCCCCCAGAGGCGAAATTGTTTCAGGTTAAAAACCAAAGTTATTAGCAGGTTTATTAAAATGACACCATTTTGGATTCAGATGTCGTTATTTATCTTGTTGATTGAGGGTCAGTGCTTCAAATAATCATTCAAAAACCATTTAGATAATCTGCTTGGTTATTTATTTGTAAAAGTATGCTCGTATTTTCTCCTGATGTGTGTCTACTACTCTTTATCTAGGTTGAATGGTTATTGCACCACCACATACAGGTAGTAGTTGTGATTACAAGAGAGCAAGTATGGAAAGGAAAGAAAAGAAAAGGATAGAACATTGTTTCTTTTCTGCCAAAAGACAGAAGAAAGAAAGCTGTTAGGAAGAGAAGTCATGATTTCAAGGAAGACACACTTTCAGGACGGGGGGTGGACATTGTGATTAAGAAAACTAAGTCCTGGTGAGAAAAAGTCGTTTGAATGATGACAGTTTTTATTTATACTTAAGAAGTCATCAGAAACTGTTACAAAGAGCAATTTCAAAGGTACAAGAACTTAAGAAGTCCGGGGAGAATAGTGAAAGGCAGCACAATCCAAGCCACTCTTCCAGGGAGTTTGGCTTTGACGAGGAGGGAGGGGAGATTTCACTGAGAGGATCATTAGGAGTCTGTGTCCTGGGAGCAGAAAGAGGAGTGAAATTCCGCATAGTCTATGTCGGAAATGAAACGATGCATTTTAGGAAAATAGAAGAGCGGCGTGCTTAAATTCTACTTTTCTAACAGAAGCATCTCATCATTTTGGTGTGTGCGCTTCCAGTCTTTTTTTCATGCATTTGCTTTCCTTTCTAACATCATTTAATAATGCGTGGTGTTTTGGTTTCTGATATTTTCATAAACATTTCTCCATGATATAGCACAGTCTTTACAACCATAATTTTTCATAAATGCATAGTTTTATATTGAGAAGATATACCTAACCATTCTAATCTTCAAAAACAGACCTATCTAAATAACTCTAGTGCACAAATAGCTCCTCAGTGCAACCGGAGTGAATTTAAGAGCACATAGGGAGTGATTCATTCTGACAAGAGGGAAAATCCACTTTTCTCAAAGAAAATATGGGAAGAGAGGACATTTGAAGAGGAAGAGGAGATAGTTTGAGTTGATGAAAAGGGAAATTGAGATTGTTTTCTCAGATTAACTGGAATTTTCTCAGAAGAGTGGTGAGAGTTAAATGGAGACTCAACCGAGGATGATTTGAAATTACCGGTGGGAAATCTGAGAGGAAGTTGCTTTTTTATTTTATTTTTCAAAAGGAGGATGAAGGCATAATGTGTAACCACGTAACCCAGGGAGGTCAGGGATAGTAGGACATTTTGGGAGAGAGCCATGACAGGAGAAAGGAGGCACTGAGGGCTCCCCATGCGGTTGACTAGAATGGAGAGTGTGACACAGACATGGAAACGGTCTGTGAGGCTGGGAAGGAGCGTTGAAACTGCCCACGGAGTCCTGCTGGTGAGGTGCGCAGGGTCAGGAGACTGGAGTAAAAAAGATTTTGTAAGAGGCTGTGGTCAGAATAGAGATTATTAAAACTGCAAGATGTTGAAGTTCAAACTTAGTAAGCATATTGCGATATTCAGTTCAGTTAATTACCAGTCAGGTCATTTCAAGACGTTTCCCACATTATCTGAGAAATCCTGCTGTGATTTCTTGTAACTCTCTACTATCCACACTTCCCTTTGTTGCTATTATCATATTCACCTCTTGTTACATAATTTATATTTGATTTCCATTTTATATCTTCTTTGTATATGTGTGCTTTAATACAACTTGCTGTTTTTGAAAACAGACAAGATATAAATTATATATTAATTTTTCGGAACAAAAACTTCTGCCATGCACTCATCATAACCTCTGTTCATTAAAATATAACTAAATACTCTTTTTCTATTTCTAGATTGTGGAAGATGCATACCAAGAAAAGACAGCCACAATTTATCCTGAACCCCCAAACAAGGAAGCGTTTGTCTGCTCTCAGATGTATAACACTGATTATGACCAGATTCTACCTTAGGAGGCCCAGAAAATACAGACCAAACCTGACCAGTAACATAATAACTAACATTTCTAAATCCATTAATGAGATCTGAAGTCTTTCACAATTTTTCAAGATTAGAATCTTTTATAATGATTTACAATATGCTAGATTAAGATAATATTACTTTAAAATCTAAAAATTTATGGGAAAATATTAAAACCCTTTAGGGTACATATCATACTAGACAATTTTGCTTCATTTACTGTCTGGTTATTTATGATTTCTATCTTATTTTGCCCAAGTTCTCTTTAAAAGCTATTGTACCTACTACTGAGAAACCTATTATTTTTATATAGGGAACTAATGGGAAGACCAAAATTAGTAATAAATTGATATGATTAAAATTAAAACCCAACATTCTTTGGTTGACCATTTTGTTAAAAATCTTTTTGTATATATAGACAGAAATATATTTAGGCAAAAATGAACTTTTGCTAAAAACAGAAATAACACCTTGTTGCCTAGAGAAATATAACTTCTCAGGTATTTTTATTCCAATTCCAGACCATACTTGTTCTTTTGGTGCAACTGAATTCTAACATTTCTAAGAAAGATTACTGCTGTTTACAATGCCTTGGGCAGCTTAGATTTTAATATTCTTTCTCCATTGTTACATCTTCTTATCACCTTGACCTCCAGCACACATCCTTTCTAATAGCACCTTTCTTTCCCCTGACTGAGTGCCCTGTCCTTCCGCTCCACTTTACTGCTGCCAGGCCTTTGAGGACTATGGCTCTGAGGTAGGTACCTTCAGTTCAGCACAGCCTGAGCAGGAGGAAGAACAGAAGGGAGAGTAGGTCAGCTCCTTGAGAAAGGGCTACCTGTGGAGCCAACCTCTTAAGACAAAGGATCTGCAGTCAGGAGCAAGAGCCCAGTTCCTGGACAAGCTGGATTCCCCTTTGAGTGACCTGCTCTGATGTCCCCTTGATTCTCTCCTTTTGTAATTACAGTAACACAATTTTCTTTGAATTTGGAGAAAGTTTTGTAACCACCCCCCAAGATCAGAAAACTTTACATTAGATATTAAAATATTCTAATTACCATGAGTAGTTACAGCCAAGAAATTTATGTTCATTTCAAGCTTTATTTTAGAAACTAATCACTGAACTAGTGGAGACAATTTTAAGTTCATAAGCTCAGGTACAATAATGTTTGCTATTTACTTGTAGAATTTTTCAGAGAATTTCCTGGTTTTTGAAGTAATGCTTTTAAAGAATATAAAAAGATGTTCAAGGTAAACTATACTATAAAATGATTTTATTGTAAGTGGAAGATTACAAATTGCTTTAAGTGGGAGTGGAAGGGGTGGGAATATTTCTGAAGATAAGATTTAGTCAAGAATTTCCTGAATATAGTTATTTTGATAAGATGCAGAACGCCTCTTTTTTGTCTATTTCGATGTTGTCTGATAGCTCTAACTAAATGTACTTACCTATGCAAAAGACTTATTAAAGTATAGAAAAAATGAATGAAGAAAAGTGTAAAATAATTGTTTTTTCTCTTAAAGTATTGTTCATTTAAAAATAATGCTGGGTCTTGATGGTCATGTGACAATATATAATGAATTAAAGTATTCTTATAGTTAATTTCAATATGAACTTAGTTTATTTAATACATGTTATATACAAAATTAATGATCTTAGAGGAAGATATTAAAACAGCTTTGGATGGTTACTTACTAGGTAGCATGTTTTCTGTGTACATTATCTTTTTTAATGTAGTTCCCACAATTCCCTTATGAAGTAGATATTTTGCCAAGTCCACAGAGCTAATACTGGTAAGTAAAGGAGGCGGACTTTAAATCTATGTTTGTCTTTCTTCTTAGTCTGTTCTCTTTTCATTGTACTTCACTAGAGTACAGTCTAGAACAGCACTGTCCAACAGAAAATGAAAGTGAGTTACATGTATAATTACTAATAGCTTAGTAAAAAGAAAAATGGAATTTATATTAATAATATATTTTATTTAAGCCAGCATATTCAGAATATCATTTTGACATGTAATCAATATAAAAATATTAATGGGATATTTCACATTATTTTTTTATACTAAGGGATATTTCACATTAATTTGTTCATATTAATAACTGGGTACTCTTATATCCAGACATTTATATTTACATAGTCATGAGAATATATAGAACAATTGAATAGAACAAGAAGCTCACAGAGACCCCTTGAATATATGAGTTATAAAGGCAGCACTACAATCTGAGGTAAAAAATGGATTATGTAGTTAAAAAGATTAGGAAAACTAAAAACTATAGAGAAAATTAAAATTATATACTACTATGTAAAAAGATAGACTTTAAATGGGTAAATACTTAAGTATGAATGGTAAAATATAAAGCTAATAAGAATGATTGAAGCAAAATATCTTTGAGACCTCCAAAACACAAACTTGAGGTTAAATAAATGATGGGATGTATTATCTAAGAGTGGAAAGGTTTTGGCTGATAAATGGCTGCTGCCATGAAACTGTAAAGGGTGAAGAAATGTAGGACTACGGGATAGCTTAGTTGCTCTACAGAGATGGAATCATAAAGGGATAATTTAGGCTCAAAGGCTTAAGTTCTCAGCTCAAGGCACAGTATAAAAATGAGAAAAATGCCTATGTTTTTGCTAAAAGAATATCTTCTCTCTTACCAGCTGCAAGGCTGAAATAACTGAAATCCAAGGTATTACATAACTGTCTGGTTTCCAAATTATACCAGGAGTTGCATTCATAGCCTTACCAGGCCTCATCTAAAAGTAAAGAATAATGACCAGGAAACTGTAGGACCTGGATTTCGAATGGGGATGTATGACAGGGGGATTTGCAGTAGACTAGTATTAACTACTAGAGGCCTGCCCCATGAAATTCATGCCCGGTTAGGGTCCCTAAGCCTGGCCTGCAATTTCCCCAGGGAAGGGGGGGAGGAGGGGCAGCCAGTCCCGCCACACACCCCCTGTTCCCCATTCCCCATTGGGCGATTGGGGCCTGCAGGTTGGGGACAGCTGTTGTGTTGAGCATCTGCCCCCTAGTGGTCAGTGCATGTCATAGCCGATCAGTAATTCCACTGTCTAGTCGATTTGCATGTTATGCTTTCATATATAGAGATAGTCAACATACTGAACATTATAGTCCCGTGACTTATTTTATAACTGGAAATATGTTTCAACCCCTCTCACCAATTTCCCAATCCCCACACAGTCTCACCTCTGTCAACCACCAGTCTCTTTTATGTAGCTACTAGAGGCTTGGTGTATAAATTCGTGAACTGGTGGGGTTTCTCAGGGTGGCCTGCAGGGTTTGGGCTGAAACTCCACAGTCGAATGCTGCCTGCAGCTCCCACCTGCCGCTCTCACTTATTCTGGTCCCACTGAGCCTGCCATGGGCTTGCACCTAATCAGTCCCAATTGGGAGAGGTTCAGAGCCCTGCATCTGGTGCCCTCCCATAGGGAGTGGCCTGCGGGATCAGGACAAAACTGGCTCTATGACATCCCCCGAGGGGTCCCATATTGCAAGAGGGCACAGGGCAGGCCTAGAGACCCCACTGGTGCATTACAGCTGCGCCCAGCTGGTCTAGTTCAGTAGTTGAGCATCAACTTATGAACCAGATCATGGTTTGATTCCCAGTCAGGGCTCCATCCCCGGTTGGGGGAAGGATTCAGGAGGCAGGCAATCAAAGATTCTCTCTTATCATTGATGTTTCTATCTCTCCCTCTCCCTTCCGCTCTGAAATCAATAAAATATATTTATGAAAAACAAAAATAAAATAAAAGCCATTAAAAAAAAGGATGACAGCCAAAACCGGTTTGGCTCAGCTGGTTAATGTTTCTAGCTTTCTATCCCTCTCTCTTCCTCTCTGTAAAAAAAAATCAATAAATATACTAAAAAAAAAAAAAAAAAAAAAAAAAAAAAAAAAAAAAAAAAAAAGGATGACAGCTGCTGTGAAACAATTTCTCTTTCTTGGAGCAAATCAATAGGTAGCTGTTGATTTATCTAATGCTTTTTTGTTTATTTCTCCTTTATTCCAGTAAGCAGAGGGCCCCAAAGCAGTTTGTGCTATCATCAAGCAACATTATATACTGTCTTTTGTCAAGGTTTCATGAACTCTGATACTGTCCCAGAATACAGTCCTGTTACCAGACCTTGATCATCTCACCATTGTACAGTGCACATGCTTGTCTAACACATTGGTGATGCTGTGCTCATAGGACCTGAGCACAAGTGCCATCAGGTTCCATGGATATCTGAAACATACATTGTGCTAATGGGTAGATCAATCCAAAGGAAGCACAAGAGCCTCAGCCAAGTTTGTGGAGGTCCTGTGTCTGGTGCATGTTGGCATGTCACCTCCAAATAGTGTACTTTGTTCCACCATTGACTAAGGAGGACCCTCAGTGTTTGTTTGGCTTCTTTGAATTTTGCAACTTTGGATTGTCGAGTTCTTTAAAAATCACAAATGGATGTTGAATTTTGTTAAAATGCTTTTTCTCACCAAATCCATTTATGGGAGGTCCACATGCTTCCAGCTTTAACTGGTTGAAGAAAAAGAAAGTCCTATCCCTCTGCTCCTGGCTGCAGTGCCGTCCAAAGGGAGATAGAATGGGCTCAGTATTGAGGCAAATCAGGATTCTGTGTTAGACCAGGGTTTTTGAGCAAACCATGCTTGCCTCTTCAGAAATACCTATTCTTTCAGCTTACCCTTGGACTACTTGAGGTAAAAGCAAAGAAAACTGTGAAGACCTCAGATAGGCTCCCTCAGGGCCTTCGCAAGTTCCCAGAAGGGATAGGTGGCATGGAAGCTGTCATACCTGGAAATAAGTTCACAGGCAGCGTATTTCTAATTTAATATGGGGATGTTGTGATAGGGTCCTTTAAGTCACCTGGCCCATTGTGTACGTATTCTCAGCACTTAGCCTAACACATACTAGTAGTAGACCAAAAAGGAATAAAAAGCAAAGAGTATACTTGGAGAAATATTGATTTAA